GTCACTGAGCATTTTTTTTAGTTTAATGTCTTTAGGTAGTCCATGACTTTGTCGAGGATATCAGTCAAGTTGTAAGGAGTAAGCGTGGCATCGTAAAATTCAGTTCTCCCGCTAAAAAGTGAAGTGGTTTGCGAAATGGCTAATTACCAATCTTATCAAAAAAGGTACTTAATCTCCTGTATTCTGATATTTGTTAATTGTTGTGTTTGGTGTAAGTATTATTAAAGTCCGCATGCCATAACAAGTATATACTAAAAAGAACGATATATAATCGAAAATGTCTGTGTAGCTCATTAATATTGATTACTGTTCCCCTTAATCGAAATGGGAATTAGATAGGTGAAATGGTAATGAGGTATTATGATTAAATATTAATTATGTCAGTCTGCAGTCCTTTACTGGACTTATGTGGAGATCTCCCCTAGGGTGCGCCACAAAAAACGATCTCCATATATATTCGTCCGATCTCTGCCGGCCACCTTTATAAGGTCATCAGTCCATCTTACCTAGAAACGTCAGGTACTCGATTAGCCATGATGTAGTCGCCATTTAAAAACCTGAGAAACCTCCCGTCCGTTTCTGAGAGTGACCAGCTTAGCTACCTCAGTAAGATCTAAGCAATGTGTATGGGTGATGCTGTCTGATATTTAATGAACGAGTATCATACATTTTATGTATTTAGTATGTTATAAATTATAAATTACAAATTACAACATACATATTTTTGATTTTTAAAATATAAAAAATATTTACTATAGTTTTCTTTTGGCTAAAGTAATAATATTGTTTGGTGAGCTGCATGACAATCATGATTAATTTGTTAATTTAAGTTTAAAAAAAAGTGCAATTTAGAAAAATTGCAATATCGGAGGAGAAGCCTGGTGACTTGAAAACATCAAGCCTTATTTTAGGATTAGTTTCTGGCACCAGTCTTCCACATGACTGTTTACTTTGGCACTTGTTGATGTGATTTTTAAGAACATTTGTGGAAGAAAATAAATTATTATTATTATTTACAAACCTGAAAAACCTCCCGCCCGTTTCTGAGAGTGACCAGCTTCACTCTCATGTCCCATATTATGGTTACGTAGACTGGTTAAAAACTAGCAGTTCTTCCGCATTACTCGTGTATATCGTGTTTCAGCATTCAAATGTCAAATTAACTCCTGAATAATCTGATTCGTTGATAAATCAACTTTCAGTAAACCAATGAGGATTGGTTAAGGATTAGTGCTAACAGATCAATCAGAGCTTTAGATACGCGGTAAAGCGCTGGTCTTCAGACACTGTAGTAACAAAAGATATGACGCAGCCAGTCAAATTTGGTTCATCCAGGTATTTGCTCTTGAAGAGGTCTTAGTTTTGCGAGGTGCACGCATCATTAAAACAAAGCAGTATTTGTTGCATCAATTCTGCCATTATAACAATGTCGTTAGCAAGTTGTAGATACATGAAATATTTACCGTTAACATTTAATTTGAGTTCTTTCCAGCATACAAGAAGAAACCATGTTTGGATTATGTTACAATTTTGCATCAGAGTGTACCATTACCGTGTTATCTCATTACCCTTTATTGAAAATCTTTAAGATCCAATATCTCGTAAAGTAAACATCCGATTGCTCTTCCTTCAACCATGTAATAACCGTTTTTGGGGCACATTTTTTTTTCTTTCTCCAAGATCGTCGATTTGCACGAATATGAAGATTTATGCGATAATTTATTCCAAACATTTAATCTCATATAGATAAAGATACTCGACTTTAATTTTTAATCATCGTCATGTTATTTAATCCGTGATACAGTAATTCTAAGCATCACAATCAAATGCATCATATCATATCAATTCTTTTAAATTAATCAGAATTAGCCCAAAATTAACACTTTCATATTTTAACATTAGGTAAATACGAATTTTGATTCTTCGTTAGTCATTTAAAATATAGTTTTGATCCGGTTTATTTTATTTTTCCAAATTGTGTCTATTGGAAAATTCATTAAGTTGGTTTAGGTTATAATTTTCATTGTTTTCTGTAAATAAACTGGCAGAAATATGATTATAAATGAAGATTTTGTTTAAAATAGGTCAAGTCAAGTCAAAAATTACATACTTGCTGTTGTCCTGCGACTTCAAATGCGTAAATTATAAGCCTATTATAATTAATCACTATATATTTAGCTTCCGGTATATGAAATAATTTTTAAAATCGTTCCACAAATTCAATGCAAACGAACAATCATTTTTTTTCCTCTTTAAACTCATAGTGTTTGTATACATAAAATGCACCCGTACGCAACTGGGGAGAGCCTCTAGTATTACAATAACAATGACAAACTTTCTAAAGTCGTATTACATATTTATGAGATGATTGTAGTTTACTTTTTGATTCTGTTAACACTTCGTCGACAATATTGAAGAATAAAAAAAAATAAAAAAGAATGAAATATACGGTTATCTAGAATACAAAGTTTATTGCGCCATTTTATTCTCTCGCCGTGACGTTATGACAGTTTGAAGTACTCAATCTCCAAGTTTTATCACAACACATTTATTTAGGAATTTCAGATATGAATTCATTCGTAGTGGATGTTCCTAGTTATAGTAGAGATAAAGAATGAGTTTTATAAATAATATTCACATATATTTACAATTTATATATATTTTGTAACAATATTGATCGATGTTAATCTCACGATAGTTCCATCAAGCGTTTCACGGAAGATCTTTAGTATGAAAATTCAAAATATGCTTGCATGCTGAGTGAGTATTAGGACTCCTAATGCTAAGTGAGCATTTTGTGTAAGTTATTACTATTAATCGCCCTACTTTTAATAACTATAATTTTATTATATTTGATCTATTTCGCATCCACAATGGGGCCGTCCATTAATCACGTGAGGCTCGAAAGGGGGAGGGAGGGATTCGTCAAAAATCACGAAATATCACAAGGGGAGTGGGGAGGTGTAGTACTATATCACGTGTATTTATTTTTCCTCGACGCGCGATTTTTTTTTAATACACTTGATTTGGTTAAAGGAGGGAGGGGGTAGTCTTAAACCTCACCATGTATCACTAAGGGGGAGGGGGGTTCAAAAAAAGTCCCAGATGGGATGGGTGGAGATGGGAGAAAGGTCATGGGTTCGAATCCCATATTCTCATGTGCCAGGGACCAAGTGGATTTATAAGCATTTTTCATTAAGAACTATAATTTCCTTGAATGTATAGACCTACTTCCAGATAAATGTTAGGGAATTTTCAATGTTTTTAAAGACGGTATTTTTTATTTTTTTCATTTCTGCGCAGAGTTTACTTTTGAGTCTTGTCCTGTTAGATCTTTCAATTTAAAATAAGGAATTTAATTGGTGTATTCTTTTAAAATGATGCAATGGAGTTAGAATTAAAATGCTTTCATCCAAGGACAAGTCGCTCTAGAACATTTCTGCTATCTTTGTATTATTAAAAATTTTAATGTATTTGAACTCTTCAGCTCTTCTCAAAACTTCATTTATGAATTAAATTAATTCGCGGAAAAGATTTAGCAATTTTTAATAAAAGAAAATTTATTCGGCAAAGCTGTGAAAACAAACAAACGTTAGACTTATTTACTATCAAATCTATGTGGAAGTAAAAAAAAAATACGCAACGAAGTATAAAAATATATGTCGACACAGACAAAAGAGATTTATAATTCTTATTTTAAAAAATATGCTAATTCGTGCAAACGGATTTTTAGAAAAATTAACAATAAAAACATTTATATTTATAGTAATGACATTAAACCTAAAAATATATCATTAATCTGCCACTTAATCGGCGAACAGATAAAATGTTCATGAACTTAATGATAATGAAACAATTTATCGCTGCATAATTGAAGTTTCCTGTTGCCAAAATATTACTTACCTACCGAACAAAATACTGAAATTTATTTACCATAAATACTATTCATAGCTTATTTCCCATATTTGCGTTAATAAATTAAATAAGCTTAAAGTCTACATACACGTATGTATAGTTTATAAAAACGGCATAAAATGTTTGAAAATTCTATAGACATTCCTCTTAAGTTTCAATTTTAAATCATTAAATTTGTTAATTTAAACTGTCATGCTCATTAGAGATAATAGTAATTTACGGGATTGCCACCTTTTTTTTTAATAGAGTCCTCTATGTTTTGCCGCTATAACTGCGCCAGCGTTGAAATATTAGGGACTATAAAATAACGTTACAGCAGTTCTGCTGTGAATAACCTATAATAGTTGTATTTTTCTACAGCAAAATGGTTACTTCGCAACTTATATATATACATAAAAGTAATACTTGTACTCGTACCTTCCAACCTATTACCAACCGACGTTTATCAATCCACAATCTTACTAATGTTACCAATCCATCCATCGAGCTATCACATTATCTAAATAGTGAAGTCCTTGTGCGGTTTCAACACAAACGCTAACCAAAAGTAGATCAATGTTGTGTAGCAAAAAAAATATCTAAAGAGCACCGACCGTTTCGACAACGAATCGATTATAATCGATACTATGTGACAATCTTTATGTAATTTATGACGATGTGAGTGTATCGATTCAATTTTGTGCTGTAAACGATAGTTTCGGTAAGATCATGTTATTGTTTAAATGTATTCGGGATAACTTTTGATGTTTGATTTGTTTGTTTGATAACAAGAAAACTACAATATTCTAAGCTACTCTTGAAAGTAAAACTACCTTCATATTAACTAATGGTGAAAGCGTTTGATTAACAAGTCACTTGGTAATCACTACATACACCTAGAATGTAAATTTACATAAAAAATAGGGTCATCGCTGTTAATAGGTGTACTGTCGCTAATCGACGATCGTTTAAAAAAAAGTCTCTACTCAAATTCTCACGTGCAGGCATGATAACGAAGGCAATTAAAATATTAATTGGAAATAAAACTGCGCGGAATAAAATTCGATATCGATTTATTTAAAATCGTTTATCGTTCTTTGTTACAGGCCAACCAAGTATAGATATTCCGGCTGCCTGCAACGGAATAGACCTTGGGAGTACGCTGACTTTTAACACTGAGCTGTCACTTGCGCAATTTGAATTTGGAAGGCTAGAAGATTACGAGTCAAACGAGGAACCATAGAAGTTGTAGTAAAGAGAGTCGAGCACCTGTGTGATGTGCCGGCTACACCACACAAAAGTGCAACTCGACGTCACCTGATAAACTTCGAGTACTGACTCCCTGGATGAAGCGACACCATGAAGTTCTCGTCGGGCTCGAGTTCGAGCAGTCTAGCGAGCGACTCGCTATCGAGAAAATCGACTTTGTGCATCTATACAGAGGTGGATGCAGCCGCACCGCCGCATTGCGAAAGGGTAAGCGAACATATCACTTAATATTTTACCCTTAAACTACTACCTCCTTGTTGTTATCATTGCTGTATAGCCAATTTGTATTCGCGTTTTATTTTACGCAAATATTTAAGCCAAGATTATATCTGATACCTGATCAGATATATCTGAACACGATAACTTACTAAAATGTCGCCTATTCTTGAATTTAAAAATTCTTGTGCTTTATTTATATTATATAATTTCAATGACCTTTCTAGGCGTCCGCTCAAAGTTAACCTTCCAGAAACATAAACTCTACAATTAGCTTTCGATTTTTCCCAAGCAAGTATATTACATTAACTTTCAATTTCTTCCGACAATAATAATATCACATTAACAAAAACAATAAAAGAACCACGTCCGGGTTGGAGAGTTCGAAGAGAAAGTAGCATGTCATCTGCCCGGTGTCGGCCGAAACCAGACTCTGATATTATTTGGCAACACCTTGAATATTTATACTTTTCGCCATCTACCCATCTTAAACGGATATACGTGCACAAATTCTCATTTAAATTTTGAAGACATATGGCCTTTGGCCTTGCCGCTGTGTAGTTAAAAAATCGCGAAAACAAATCTACATATTATAATTCCAAGAACAAAATCCTAAACATAGCTTCTGGTTTGGATACAGGATTTCACTAATATCATTATGTCATACATGCTTACCATAGACAAACTAAAAATCATAAATAAATCTAATAAACATACGAAAATGGAATATTTGCTAACCTATCTCTATCATCTGGTCTTTATAATTCTACTTTGGACGTAACTTCGTCATACACAAATTGAAATGTTTGTGGTCAAGAGTCATGACATAATTGCCTTGAAATCGCTTTTATTTATAAAACATGACGCGACGTTATAATTTAGCTGCGTTCAGTAATAATTGAAGACCTTCTTGGTAATAAGGTATCTAGTCTTCTGCGTGAAATATGACAATAATAAGATTTGGTTTTTGATTAATGATGGCATCATCCTTGGCGCCTGATTGGCCAACCACTATTGCACGCTTTGTGTTCCAGAACATTGCGAGAATCTTCATTTATGTCGTCACATTCATATACCAAGGCAAGGCTATTGTTTTAAGTATCACGTGTTGATTGCACTTTCACATATAACTTATATATTACATTCCTTTGCGATAATATAAACTGGTTGAATCTCATAATCAAAATTTACATAAATGTAATTTTAATCTGTAGCTTCATCTGATATTATTTCATCTACAACATCAATTACAAAACGTCTATCATACTATTACATCTTTTACGTTTGGAATGATTCGCTACCATCATTATTATTATTTTGAGATGCCTCTTATGATGAATTCGTAAGATTGCACGACAATGCGTCCTACGTGCTCTTATCTCACAAATTGAGCGGGCGTAACTCAGTGGTCGAAAACTTAAATATCGCACACGACACAATGCTGTTGGATCACTTTCGCTTACGTAGGTGTTCAATCATCAGATCGGTGAATTTAATCTTTGTTACATTGTTCAGCCGGTCGAAGCTAATAAACTTTTACCGACCAATATTAGATGAAAGTAACTTAATGACGCTGATTTAGAAAACTGATTGATTGATAATATTTTGTAATCGTTCACTCGGTCTGTTGTTATGTAAGTGTTGTTCTTTCGCACCCTCAAGAATTTAATCTTGTGCCTTTCTAACTTGCTGAATGGATTCCATGATTAAATATTTCCACAAAGACCGTCCACTATTCTGTGATGTATTATGATTTAATAAACCACGGAATGCCTTTAATTTTATTCACTTCAGTTGTACTTATAGTTGTTAAAGCAGTCATATGTCTACGTAGATTACATTCTCGGTTGACCACAAACAGTCCCGTCATGCTCTCGTATTTCAAGCTACAATTCGAATACCCAATTTGAGTTTAGCAGCTTTCGTCACGGCGACCTCCGTTTCGTTCCGCTTGTTTATCGGAGTATACATTTACGTTCCTTTTATTTTATTGTAACCTAATACCGATTCGGTTACCATCGGTATTGTGGTTAGGACCCCTTTGTGTGCCTCTCCGATTTTGTTAAAATCGTACTTTGCTAAGTAAAAGTTAACAACATACACAATTGAACACGCATTATCTACATTACGACATCGTTGTCAGAGGACGATAACTACCTGATAAGGTGTCTAGATGTTTCTGTACTAGCTAACTGTATTTCCTTTTAGATCATGGTCTGTGCTTATAAGTTATTTAAGAAGTAGGTAGACAATCTAAATTTGTTTTTTTTTTTATTCCAACCATCTTAAAAAATGCGATACTTATACCTATATCTGAATATATCCTTGAAATGAAAAACAGGAATGTTGGCATTCCATATTCATAATTTCTAATTCCATCTTGGCTGACTATTATTTTAATAAGCTTTTCAAGTCAGTAATGATATAGCTGTGTCATCGCGTGATCGTCCTTGCATGGTGCGTGAAACATCTGCACGACTTTTTTGCTAACGTTGTTTGCGAGTTGCATCAACACAATGCAGTGTTGCCAACCGTATTGTTTTGACAGTAGATTTGCTGTTTCCACATTGATCCCCCTGTTTTCTGTTATATTCCTAATTTTTACTGGTTGTCAATGAGCGTTCAGCGACAACTATTACACTATGCAAAACGAAATCCAAAATAGCTGTTTGCTACTCATTTGAAACCACAGTAAGGAACATGAAGAAGTTTAATAAAACTATGCATGATTTTAAATAGGAAAATGAGTCAGATAATACACGATATGAGGCTAATGAGAATGAAAGTAGATTTTTTTTTATTTCGTTTATTTTTTTATTTTATGATCAATATGACAATGTGTGTAAGTCTCGAGAAGTAATAAAACAATATGACTGTTTTGATTATATAAGAACAGTATGAAACATGCCTATTCTACTTAACCTACTGTTTTCTCCTGTTTTTGGGGTTGGCAACACTGAACATAATGCTAGATGTTGTCATAACCAACGAAATTTCCAAGAAAATGATCCGTACCACATATTTTCTCATATTGACTTTCCTTTCCCATGATCGACACAAAGCTGTTACCCATTATGAAATATATCAAGATTAACTACGGAATTTATGATTGAATCTAATAAGTTGTATATGCGTAACGATTACGGTTATTGTTGTATTATTTTCTCTTGCTGCTGTTGTCTTATCTTGGCTTTCATCGGCCACCGCGCGTGACCTCGCGACATTTCATTAGGGGCATTGTGCGTAGTTTGATCTCGGCATGTGTACTATAAATTATAGTTGTAACAGCTAAAACTACTAGACGGATCGTGCTCGTGAAATTAGGTACATAGTTATATTAGGGTTGCGGCAAACCAAAATTATAAAAAAAGAAATGAGCATTAACTAAGGTTGCAAACCTCTTAAATACTATGACTAAGAGGTATGTTAAGAAAGGATTTAAAAAAATTCAAACCCTAAAGGGTTTAAATAGAGGTCTGAGAATCATGTGATGGAAAGATAGTGGCTCTATTAATAAAAAGGAAATGCTCAAAAATTATTGGTTTATTGCAATCCGACTAACTGATAACCCTTAGTTGATTTTGTGAACTTAAGCCTCAATTCTGTCCTAAGACTCATATCTCGTATTAGATTAGATTTAAAAACTACTAAACTAAACAAAATTTAAGCCCATAACCAAATGCTGCGCGTGCGCATAATAATTGCACTGCATTCACTTTAATCCTTGAGCGACAATCGTGTTGCGTTTATAACTCCGAGTGATTTACGTGATCCCCTTTTATTATTGTACGAACTGGCTTTACTAGGTGAATAAACTCGACACGCGGAGATAGCGAACCTTCCGGGCTCGACGTTAACACATTAAGAACGTGTCTCGATCATGGCCGGGTAAGGAAATGTATATACCAACAATTATTGTTACTATTAACAATACAAGGCGAACGGGTATTGTTCACTTGTCTCCATATATAGATATATAATGTTTTTTGTTGGCAAAAACCTAATATAGACGCGGCTTTAAGACGCCTCTAAAGATGTATTGTGTTCTTACCCTTTTAAAGACGGAGATTGGATAACAGGCTTAAATAACGATTTTATTTTTAAATTATATTAAATTTCCACACATATCTTATTTTTAATAGACTACAAAGAAAGGAGGAGGTTATCAATTCGACTGTATTTTTTTTTCTGTTTGTTACCTTATAACTTTTTTCTGGGTGGACGGAATTTGATGATCCTTTCTTTATTTGAAAGCTAGGGCCCAGATCTGGTAATGGCATTGATCTTTAATTTGCATTAAGTATGCGTGATATATGTTATCCCAAAACTCAAAATACCACTAAAACGCATGAAATATAAACTTTTTATTAAAAAAAAAATGAAGCCCGACTTCAATGTTTCTTGAAAAAATTTACCGCTTTTAAAATAAGTATTATTTTAACTTTTTTAAATTTGACGTTCGTTCCATTTTTTTAATAGTTTAATCGATCTAGTCCATAGTGCGGTTGCCTGGAAGAAAGCTTCTAAGCAATAAGACCGCTGATAGTAGGTGCTTGATATTTATGTTCGTAATAATGTATTTCTGTTTCTGTTTTCTTTGTGGGTCTTTGTAAAGTATTGCACAGAAAGCAGCGTGTATGTAAACATTCTAATGTCACCTGTAGTTTATTTAGAAAGTCTAAGAAGAATGCATTTCATCAGCATTAGCAGATATCATAAGTACTAAAGAAAATTCAATATTACAGTGTACAGAATAAATTGTAACTAATATACTAATTAATTCAAAGAGAACAGACTTTTTATTATAAATGTTGACAATGGACAACGCAATTACGAAACTTCCAAAGTGCCATAATAAAAATAATTCAATACAATTTCTCAACGAAATATAGTGCATAAATCAACTTAGAAAGCATTCTCTTAGTCGTGATCGTGACGAAACTCTCTCTATTCACATTGGATACGTCCAATATTGCGCCGCTAAGAAATAG